AGGGGGAGCCTGGCGGAGGCAGAGGGTTCGATGGTGCGGCCTCGCCCTGGAGCCAGGCGTGCAGGCAGGGCCATCTGCAGCAGCTCCTTGCCGTGGCCCTGCCGTCCCATCTTGCCTACCCCCGCCATCTCTGCCCATGACCTTGCGTCTGTGGCGTGGCATCTGGGCAAAGCTACCACCGTGCATTAATAACGGATGGCTTCACTAGCTTAGTGGAGAGGCTCTCCTCTGGCTGTACTTTTCAGCAATCAGACAGTGCCAGAGCTTGTCTGAGAGGAGCACTCCTATTACCATGGCTCCAGGCGAGCTCAGCGCTGCTGCAGGAGTCTGCCGTCTTCTTCCTGCCCACCAGGCCTTTTGAATGCCATGCAGCACCACATTGGGCTTTCCTGGAGGGCTAATCGTAGCTTGCTGGAGCTTCTAACAGGGCTATTTTTGGGCATGAATGCACAGGAATGGAGTTCCGGCTGGCTCCTGAGTTGGCCACGCCCAGCAGGAACTCATTAGCATAATAGGCCACACCTAACAGCAGACACTCATTAGGATTGGCTACATTAGGGGTGTGTGGCCTAACATGCAAAGAAGTTCCTGCTACAAAAAAGCCCAGGGTTTTGACAACAAAGTAAACAGAATAAGAAGCAAAAGGTGGGTGTGGTTGGATGACCACACTTCTGGTAACATGTTGGGTGTGGCCTAATATTCTAATGAGCTGTGCTGTCAGAGGTGTGGCCTAATATGCTAATAGGTTTCTGCTGTTGGGTGTGGCCTATTATGCTAATGAGTTCCTGCTGGGCTTTTTCTACAAAAAAAGCCCTGGAGGTATACCTCTGAGTACCAGAGGCTGGGGATATATAACTAGGGAACTGCAATGCCCTGCTTCAAGGCTTCTCTAAGGGCTTCTAGCTGGCTGGCTTCTATTGCAAACAGGATGCAGGGATGGATAGATCTTTTTGGTGTGATCCTCCAAAGCAAGCCTTAGATGTTCGCATTGTGCAACATATGAAACAGGGATGCTGTTGGAATGGGGCTGCTACCCTATCCCCCGTTTACCCTGGGAACTCATTTGTCATAGGTTAAAGATAGAAAAGGGGCTGCAGTGGCTCAGAGATTAACAGGGTGAGCTGCAGACTGGAAGGTCTGTAGTTCGGCAGTTCGAGACTTGAGTGCCGCATGATGGAGTGAGCTCCCGTCTGTGGCCCCAGCTCCTGCCAACCTAGCAGTTCGAAAGCAAGAAATTGCAAGTAGATAAATAGGTGGGAAGGTAACAGCGTTCCATGCACCTCGGTGTTTACTCAAGCCGGCCACATGACCACGGAAATGTCTTCGGACAGCGCTGGCTCTTCGGCTTGGAAACGGAAATGAGTACCGCCCCCTGGAGTTGGATTCGACTAGCTTTTGAGCAAAGGAAACCTTTACCTTTAAACATAGAAAACTTCTGCAACTTAGTATGCAAAATTCAGCTTCCCCTCCCCTCCTCTCTCATGTCTTGGGCTTTATCTCCTGTATCCATAGGGTAATTACGTCACAATGACAGCAGAACTTGAGCAAAACAAAATGGAGTCCTGTGGCATCTTAAAGACTAGCAGGTTTGAGGAATGAGCTTTCATGAGCTACAGTCCACTCACTAGATGCACCTCAAGTAGCACAAATATATTACTGATCATTGGAATCTGGTTCCTGGGATTGGGTCGTTTTTATGGTCTTGGCCTAAACTAGAATGCTTATGACAAAAGGAATGATAACGCTTCTTAATAAAATGTATCAAAGGACTTTTGCTTCTGCGCTGTCAAGTAATTTAACATGTATAGAGGCCCCAACAAGTGTCAGATCTGGATAATGCACTTAAACCTACCAATAAATTCTAGCTGAACAAAGTCCAAGTCCAGTGGGGCACCTTTAAGACCAACAAAGTTTTATTCAGGGTATTAGCTTTCATGTGCATGCACACTTCTTCAGACACATTGAAATGGAAGTTGCCAGTCCATACATATAGATAGAGGGTGTACAGACTGGCAACTCCCATTTCATTGTATCTGAGGAAGTGTGCGTGCACACAAAAATTTATACCTTGAAAAAAACTTTGTTGGTCTTAAAGGTGCCCCTGGACTCAAACTTTGTTCTGCGGCTTCAGACCAACATGGCTATCCCAACTGAATCTGTCTTCTAGTTGAAAAGTTTCTCATTGGAACATTCTGGTTGAAGTCCCTTTGTTGAACAACAATGACTTTAAGGTCAGCAACAGAATGTCCTGGTAGATGGAAATATTCTGTCCCAGATTTCTGGAAGTGGCCATTTTTTATGTCAAATTTCTATCTGTTTATTCTTTTGCACAGAGACAGACCTGTTTGTTCTATGCAGACAACATACTATTAAGGCTAAATGTCACTTTGGTGGATGAGTTTGTTGTGCATAGAAATGTCACAAACGACTCCTTTTTTATGGAACAAAGTTTGAGTCCAGTGGCACCTTTAAGACCAACAAATTTTAATGATGGGTATAAGCTTTCATGCATACTTTCTGGAAAAGTGCAACAAAGTTTAATGATGGGTATAAGCTTTCATGAATACTTTCTGAAAAAGTGTGCATGCATATGAAAACTTATACCCAGAATTAAACTTTGTTAGTCTTAAAGGTGCCACTGGACTCAAATGCTGTTCTATTCTATTGCTTCAGACCAGCACGGCTACCCACCTGCCCGAATGTACCTTTTGTGTTTCATGTGCTTATTTAAACCCGCTCTTCAGTCCTCCCCTTTTGGTGTGCATAGTTGCTGAAGTGGGCTGTATCTTGCTATAAATCAACTAGTCGTTATGGTCTACTGCATGGGGTTGCCAACCTCCAGGTAACACCTGGAGATCTCCAGCTATTACAATTGATCTCCAGACAACCAAGATCAGTTCCCTGGAGAAAATAGCTGCTTTGGAGGATGAATTTTATGGCATTATATCCTACTGAGGTTCCCCCCCCCCCAGCCTGCCCTCCCCAGGCTCCACTCCCCCAAATCTCTAGGTATTTCCTAACCCAGAGCTGGCAACTGAATCCACCAGAATCCTTTTTTTTGGGGTCTTGACAGGCTAATAGTGTCCCCCACAGCAATTTGTCTTTAAACACTGTGAGATTCAGAGCCCATGTTTGCTTCAGTTCTCTGACACCTCTGACATTATTTCCCAGACTGTCTGCCAATGTTCCCTCTAAGCTGAGTTAGTGTGAGCTAGCTCACACTAACTCAGCTTAGAGGGAACATTGCAGTGTCTGCTATGGTTGCGGCAGGATTGTTCACCTACTGTAGCTTGGATTGTATGGAACATTTCTACCAACCAAAAGGAGAAGCATTCCATATGTGTGTGTGCAAGTTGTGTTCCGCTGATGGAAATCCTTCTGTTGGTGGAAATGGTTTGTAGGATTAACCCATTAACTCACCACTCTTTAGCAGCTTGTAGATTACTGTGGGATGTCCACCAATAAGACTTTTCTTTTCCCATTTCTTCAGCCAGAGATCTCCTGATCTCCTTAGACTGATGCTATGGCAATGCTGCTGGCAAAATTATTTAGAAACAACAACAGAATGTCCGTCACCACCTGGGACCCTGACTGCAACTGGTATTCCTTTCTCCTTCTGCTCTGTGCAATGGTTATCAAGTGGAAGATTGCAACTCGTGGACTGTGAGACCACAAAGGAGGATGAGGTGAGTTGAGCAGGGCAGGAGTCTCTGGGGGACTGGATGGCAAATTTGGCTGGCCTCTGCATAATGTGTGAAATGGCCGGGGAATGTAGCCTGTCGCTCAGTAGTGCTATATATTTATGAATACTAAACCTGAAAAATAATATATAAACTTTTCCATTAACTGATGTGAAATTTCTGCATTGTATGGTGGAGAGAGGCAAAGTAGTATGGAGTTACTTTTTGAGTCCCCATAAAGTACAGTAAGTTTAGAAGTGGGTCCTGAAAAGGGTCGCAAGTTTAAAAGTCAGTCCCATCAAATCACTGGACAAGAATGTTGGCCTGAACAGTATGTTTGGAGATAGCAGGCTTAGAACCTTTAGAGCGAAGTAGAAAAGCCTTCGTTCAGCCTGTCTCCTTTCGGAGTTTGTTTTTTCCAGATTTTGGAATGGTTCCATCTGCCAAGGTCAGTGTGTTTCCCCCCACCCCCCGCCCACATGCAAGAGGCAGAACTCTTCAAAGCCAAGGCTGAAATGAACACAGCAAGATCAGACAAAAACGTTTTACTAATGGGCACTTCATGGCCCCCCTTTGAAATGTGCTGCTGAGGAACCACCCCCTGCCAAGCAAATGGGCACAGGGCAGTCTGGTCTGGCTGCACTGGGGGTGGTGGTGCTGGGGTTCTGCCAAGGGTGAGAAGGCGTCTCATTCTCAGTCACCCACTCTACAGGCACGGGGGTGGGGGTGGGGGTTGGGCTTTCAGTTGCACTGAGGGTTCTGCAGGCTGCATTTCTTCCTGGATTACATCTTAAACCAGCATTTTTCTCTCCCCCTCTACTGACATACAGAAAACGTCCTTCAGAATGGCAAATTCCACCCAGCGGTTGGTTCAGATTGCCACTCCTTCTCCCACCCTCTCCCCATCCCAATGTCTTCTGTAAGGGACAGGCCAGCCCCGTATGTCTATTAAGGATGCAGCAGCCACTGGCGTTCGGCAGATGTCTCTGACATGCCTGTCCCATGCTGAGCCCTGGCAGCTTGTTGTCTTGAAGATTTTGAACATGATTCACATCATTTGGCCCCTCAGGATGCAAGAACGGCTTTCCCCCCAAAGGAAGTGTAGCTCCGATGTCCTCGAAGAACCAGAGGGTGGTGTCCAACCAACACACCACCTGGTGCCGTCGGCAGGGTCTGGGAGAAATCATGGCTGGGGTGGTAAGTCGTGCCTCACAGAGGAGAGGGTAGGAAGAA